GCTCCCTTCTAAGCGTCTGTGGAAAACGGAGTTAAAAGGGAAGTTCAGTTTGAGGTAAAATATTCTGAAGCCCATGTACATGTGGGTCTTCAAAATGTCCACGGAAAATGAGCTCTAGGAAAAGGAGGCATGGATTTCAATTTTGTTTGCACCCAAATAAAGTTACCTTTGAAGTCCGCCTTCCATAGATGGAACAGGCGGGTGGCCCTGGTCTGAAGACAGCTGCAGATGGTGTTTAATTCCTGGAGGTCCCCGTCCTACTCCGTGTGTTTCTGGAGGTGCAACTTTGGAAAGTGAAAAGCTTTAAAGAAATCTGAGCACGGCCTTCTCTGTGTCGTGCCTGCTGCATGGCCTCTTCTCTCACAACCAGGGCCAAGGCTCCTTCCTCCTCTCCGCCTGAGAGCCCTTTCGTGATTAGCAGGTAGCCTTCCCTCTCCTCCCTCATCCAGTTCCTGCCCGCCTTCCTGTCTCAGCTCCCGAGCTGTCCTAAGACCCCTGGAGGAGCTGTGTGGCCACACCGCAGCCATATCAGGTACCATGCTGGCTCACTTTGTGCCTTACCCATCAAGCACAGGCCTGCATGCTGCCAGCATTTTCACTACAGAGAACAGGGTGGGCACTTGCACAACAGAGCCACTGCTAGACCACACCCCACACCTGTGTGCCGGGGATGCAGGCCCGCATACACCCCCGATCCAGCTTCCTGCTAATGCACGTCTTGGGAACCAGCAGATGAGGGGCCAAGCACTTGAATCTCTGCCTCCCATATGGGAGACCCACACTGAGTTCTAGACACCTGCTTCAGCCTGGCCGGTCCTGGATATTGCAGGAATTTGGAGAGTGAACCAGCAGGTGGGAGATTCTCTCTCTCTCTCTCTCTCTCTCTCTCTGCCTTTCAAATACATAAAAACAAGTAAACTTAAAAAATGATGGCTCTTCTTACTGCTCAGCGGGCGCAGATGCCTAGACCTTGTGTTCCTTCTCCCAACCCCTGCGGCTTAGAAATAACCATGGAAACCCTCAGACACACTTCCACCCAATGCCACAGCTGGCGTTTCCCTGTCTTGAAAATCACCACAGACAGAGGGCCCCGTCTCAGGTCAAGCTACCATGGTCAATTCTTCATTCATTCATTCATTCATTCATTTACAGGTGAGTCGAGTCTTCAAAGGCGCTTGCACCCACGTGGAAGCCATTGCTGCCTCCGAGGACCCAGTGTCCAAAAGAGAGGATGAAGCAGAGACTTTGAGGAAAAGGACTGCATGAGAGGTGCCAAGAGGGGCCTGTGGGGGCTGCAGACAGCAGAGATGGCCTCCTCTGTGCACCCAGGCATGGTGTCACAGAGGACTCACTGCTTGAGCTGGGTCTCAGCAGGTGAGGTGTGGAATGTCTAGAGAAAAGAAGCGAGAGGAGATGTTGATGGTGGCTATGCAGCACAGAGGCGGCACAGCGGCCGACAGCGCTCCTCTGATCCGGGGCTGCCTGCCTTCCCCAGGGCCCCAGCCACGCTTACCTGGGAAACGCCAGTTGAGTTGCCTTGAGCATCTCTGGGGTGGGTTAAGGGTAGAGTGGAATCTCAAGGACAATGAAGACTTTGGATGTGGTCATGCAGGTGACCGGATGGGTTTAGTCCCCAAGGGTCCCTGGTCATCTCTTTATTTATTTGTTTAATTTGAAAGGCAGGCAGAGTGACAGAGATCTTCAATCCGCTGGTTCACTCCTCAACACCTGCAATGTCTGGGGCTCAGCTGGGGTTACAGCAAGGAGTCAGCAGCTCTGTGTGGGTCTCCCACATGGGTGGCAGAGACGCAGCCACTTGAGCCATCACCTGCTGCCTTCCAGGGAGTGCAGTAGCAGGAAGCTGGAACTGGAGAGGGAGCCTGGACTCAAACGAGCACTCCTCTATGGGACACGGATGTCCCAAGTGGCGTCTTCACCTCTGTGCCAAGCTCTTGTCCCCAGAAAGAGTTTTTAACAGAATCAACATATAGAGAAAATGACATCGGAAACAGGATGGTGTGGGGGCAGGGCTGCAGCAACAGAGGGACCAGTCTGGGGGCCCTGAGGGCATCTGCGAGAGGCTGAAGGGGACCCAAAGCAAGGCTGCATGAAAAACCGAGTCTGGCTCAGGGCGGATCCACCCCCCAGGAAAGACCGACTGTCCTCTGTTCTGAGCCCTGCCAGGCTTCCAAGGCGCAGTCCAAAGGAGGCGACAGGGTGTCCAGCACATTTTCAGCTGGGGGGAGGGGAGCAGAGGACAGACCCCCGCCATCACCATGGCCATGGCCATGACCATCTTCATCACGTGTGCACTCCTGGCAGCCCCAAAGCTCACTGCCTTGGGACTGCCTCCCCACTCAGGCTGCTCTGGGCTTCTCCACACATGCGTCTTTTTGCAGGTGCCTTTGCTTGTTGCTTTGTTGTAACTTTCCCTCTTTGTCCCTTCTCATTGTCACAGTTCCTCATTGGTGTTTGTAACAACTCCCAGTTTAGTCTCATCTGTGTATTTCATTAACATGCTGATTGATCGTTTGTCCTTAATAAAAACATCAAATGATTATTTAACATCCATTGTGCCCCAACGATGTATTGAGAGTTGTGCAGAAGAGAGCTAGATTCTGCTCTAACTCAACCTCATTTCTCCTCCCTACCCCTCCCAAAGCCAAGCGCAGTTGAGGTTTTTGTCTTTTTCCTCCTTTGAGGACCGGAGGAAGGTCACTCGTCAGCATCTTGTGCACCAAGTGGCATTAGCAAACATAATCTCCTGGGAGCAAGTGATGCTGCCTCATTGGCGACTTCACATCGACTGCTTTGTCACTGATCAGGAATTTATACCCCACCTGCTTCACTTCATCCCTGAACTTCGACCACGTGAACGATTATTGATTGGTTCACTCAAGCAATTAACATTAACTGAGCATCGACTGTGCACGGATCTCTGAACATGTCACATCGTCACACCTGTTCTTCCTTCCTCCCAGGCAAGCCCTGGTCAGCCCCTGGTACCCAGCTTGGAGAGGTGCACCTGGAACCTTCTCAGAGGTCCTCTGCAAGTGCTCCTCCCCCGTGAGCCCCACACAGCCCCGTGACCTCTGCACTGCACCTGCTGCCACACAGGTGTGGGTATTCAGCCAGACCCGAAGGTCAAGGAGTACTGCACAGAGGATGCGGTACCTGCTGTGGCTCCTGTTTACTCAGATGGTGAGGGATGTAATTTCCAGGGAGACCCTTCCCTAAGGGGTTTTGCTGCCATGGGAACGGTTTGGAGAGGTCCTTGGCCTGGGGCTGGTGGCCCTCATGGCCAGCCCTACTCACAGCCTCTCTGCAGGTAAGCAGGTGCCATCACTTCCCCTCAGTGTCTGACAGCTTTGGGCCTCTTGCTACGTCCAGCTCCAGGCTGCAGGGCTGACTCTGACTCTGACGCTGAATCTGGGTTTCTCACCTTCAAAGTGAAGACTGTGACAGTAAGAATGCTCCTGTTCTCCCTCCAGGAGGCTGTGGGATGGGCTCCTCCCTACAACAGAGTACTGATGCAGGCACAGCGTGTGTCCTGCAGAGGGCACTGCCTCCAGCCCCATGCTCCAGACACCCTGCAGGGCCCTGTGCAGGCTGGGGCAGGGGCAGGGGCAGGGCTGCAGGATGTGAAAGCATCCCAGGTGGATGGTGTTTCTGAGTCCTGAGGGTCCCCTGGGGATTCCCTGGGCCACCTTTCTCATGCTTTCCACCAGCCAGCTGACATGAGGCCTGGGTCTTCCAAGTGTCAGGCTATCCCAGCCACTATACACAGCCGAGGGACGTTCCGCGGGTCGATCGGGGTGAGCCAGGAGGAAGGCTCAGGACTACTGTGAAGCAGCTAGGACGTGGGCACCCCACTCCACAAAGCCACTTACCGTGAGTGCCGCCCTTGGCCCCTGGGCACCTCTGAGCTCGCCGGAATGTGGAGCTGATGAGACTTGCAGGCTGTGCGCCTTCACCCCAACTGGGACAATGAAAACCTGCCCTGAGGTCCTGTTACAGCAGCCCTAGGCGACTCATACCTCCACAGCCTTGCAATGAAGGCCAAGTTCCTGAGCTTTGCACCTGCTGCCACCCCGAGGCCAGACATGTGAGTGACCCTCCTCCTCCACCTGCCCCTCAGGCCAAACCGCCCACACTGGCTGGATCTGCCCACTCCCTGGGTTCCCCGTCTCGTCGGTGTACTGCTAATGCCTGCTTCCCTGCAAAGCCTGGCTCATGGTCAGCATCCTCTGTGCAGTACTCCTTGGCCTTCAGGCCTGGCTGAATCCCCAGACCTGTGTCTCCAAGGCCTGCTGTGTATGCAACACTTGTCACGCCTCATTACGACAGCAGGTTGCCGCATCTGCCCCCTTTCAGAGTAAGGGCTCCGTGAGCACAGCTACGTTGAGTCTTCACACCCACGCGACCCAGCTGGCCGTACGCCACCCTGTCTGCACCCTGCGACACTCCGGGTGGTGCGTTAACTCCAACTCTGCACAAGGAGCTCAGTGCCCGTTCCTAAGTTTCCTGTTCATGGTGACGTACAGGTTCTCCCATGAAGCTCAGACAAGGCCAGTGAAAATCAAGGTGGGCGGTTACTATTATTTCTGTTAAACGAGGAACATGCACATCTATCCCACTTTTTCCCCGCAGAGAAAGGCCGCACCCTGGGTGTTCTGATGCCCCGCGCAGCACTGCGTAGCTGGCAAGGTGCTTGTCCCAGTGGGGCTGCTTCCTGGCGTGGCGCTCCAGGCTCGGCACCACAGGAGGAGCCAGGGGATGGCTGGACACAGCAATCTGCATTACTCTGGTGCCTGAGGGCTGAAACACTCCTGAGAGAACCCTCAGCATACAAAAGCTGTTTTCCTAGTGACATAAAGACACACACACACACACACACACACACACCCCTTGCCCTCTCTCCCCTTCCACCTTCACCTCCACAAAATTTGTTTTCAGGGCCACACTAACGAAAGCATCCACAAAACACAGAACCAAGCAGCTTTTACAAAAGTCACTTGTATTCCAGCCAAAATATCTTGAAAAAGACACCCCTTCTGAAGAGCGAGGAGGCAGCCTACGTCGGACACAATACGTGTAAAATATGTACTGGAATTACATCAGGAGTCCCAAGTACAAAACACAACATGGAACGGCATTCTGACAGCTCCTGTGTACATCACAGTGTTAGTGGCACAAAGTGTACTGATGTTGCAACAACACAAACCAAGTCGTTTTGTTTTACCACACTTGTCACACATACATAATGCATACATGTGCATGAGCCATTCATGCGTATTTTACACAAGATCAAAACACACCCATGGTCAAGTGAGCCGAGGCGGACAGGGGATCAGGCACGGGGCACGGAGCAGCCCCAGCGGGGGCCTTGGACCCGTGGACGACTGCACGGAGCAGAGGCGAGGCGAGGCGTGAATGGCAAGGCAGCAGATCGCCTGGTCGTGAAACACTAGCAGGGTGTGCAATGCAGGCCCCTCCGTTCCGTGCGGCGCTGTCGGCAATGCCAGTCTTCGGCGCTTTGCTTTGTTGATGCTCACAGGGCTTGGGTTCATTGCAAGAAATAGACAAACTTTGGTATTTTTTTTTTACAGAGACCTTCCTGAAGTGTTATTTATACATGCGTGTCATTTATACGTGTGTGTGTCTGTGTGTGTGTGTGTACACACAGGTCTACTTATTAATAAAGGAAAATCTGAGAACTATACAAAAACCCGCCCTAATTCTTCCCAAACCCCTGATTGCTAAAGAGAAATTTTCTCTTCCAAGTTGATAAAAAAAAAAAAAACTTTAAATTTCGTAATCTAAGGGGGAAAGAGAAACTCCTCTTGAGGTCCTGTCTATATCTGATGACCCCTCTCTCCAGGGGCCTGAGTCAGGATGTGAGCTGGCTTCTACGTGGTTCTGTGGAACCGTCTGCTGTGAAGAGAAGGTTTTCTCCTCCGGAAGGATGCCCGCGTGCGGATGCTGGCTCCACGCGCAGCAGGGACTTCTGGGAGTGGAGGAAGAACCGACCTGCACGGTGTTCCCTGCATTCAAGGGTTGTGTGTATGCTCATTGCTAAGCCAGTCTCTGCTGCATGGACGAATGCCGCACTTCTGGGGGCGCAGGCCTCTTGTGAGGTCACACAGCTGTGCTGGCCAGGCCCTAGGGTCCATGGCAGAGCCTGATGGACGGATCAGAGACATCAAGTAAAGCCACATAATGGGATCAGCTACCCCAAGGCCTCGGATGACTGCAGGTCAGTCATGTGCTCGGCAGGCACAGCCCCGAGTAGCCACACAGCCTGGCTGCATGGCCCAGGGCGGAAAGGCCTCTGAACAAGTAAGCATCCTGCTTCCACAGTGCCCCAGTGCAAACCACCGGGCAATGTGCGCGTCCTCTCCCACCGCAGACGGGCCGTGCCCAGTGACAGCAATGGCATCGGCTCTGCCTGCTAGGTGGAGAGCTCCCCACACCGACTGGACCGCAGAGGGACGGCAACATTCACATCTCCATCTCCCCATGTTCTATAGACAGCGGACACGGAGCGTGGGGAAGACTGCATCAGGAACACAAACGGGTCTGGCTTCCTGACGCCAAGCAAGGTGTCATGGGGGAGGGGAGGCAAGCTTACCATGGAGCAATTATTGGATTACTAAATCAGACAGAGCAAATAGAGGCATGCTGGACAGGAAAACTCCGGGCAGGCAGGTGCTGATCTGATTGTCCCTGGCTGGCCCCGGATCCTCTGGTCACTTCCTGGGTCAAACCATGTGCTGATGAAACACACAGGTGCAAGTGAAGGCACAAGGACATTTGGGACTGCAGACGTGCATGATTGGGTCAGAGACGCCCCTGAGAGGGGAGGACAGCCTGTCCCCCTAGGAATGGGGGTGGGTCTGAGCTGTAGCCCTAAGAATGCAATCTTTCCAAAGGCCCTGGCTCCCACCTAGAGGACAGGGCACCCCTGAAGACCCAGCTACACTCGGCAGGAAAGACAGGGCATCGTCAAGGCTGTCCCGTGGACCACCGGAGACCGAGCCACAGACCTGCCCCCTTTGATTGGTATTTCAGAGGGCAGTGGCCACTGCTGCAGCCACACAGGGCAGCCCACGACTCACGGAGCTGTCACCCCTCTTCCAGAAAAGCCATTCTACCATCACAACATCTCAAACGACAGAGACTCTCGGCCCGGGCATCATCTGGAAAGACAGGCTCCGGCATGTTCACACAGAGCCGCTGAACTTCTAATGGCAATCCCGGGAGGTCCGGAGCAGCAGGCTGACACCAGCTGAATTGTCCACAGCTTCATTTGCGCAGAGAAAGCCGGTGCACATGGGGCAGAGGGCTGCGCTGTTGCTGCTGCTCATCGGAGCCTGCAATGCGTAAGCCACTTCGATGGAGGAATTTTGTTCTTGCTTTGCTTCTCTGCAGGATGCGTCACACATTTTAAGAAATTCTACCCTAATAGATGTACCGTTTCTGCCTTCTGCTCCTTCAAAGCACACATGGCTTTGAAAGTGACTTCTTGAAAGGACGCACGTTCCTGCTTTTCGTCAAGGTCAGTGGATGGAGGGGCGTGTGTCTTCTCCCTGACCGGTGCATTTTGCTGCCACAGAAACCATCACACCGCCCTACGGTCACCAGCGGTAGAATCTTCACATCGAAGCATACATGAAGCGTGAGTTTGTTGCTTGGTTTGTTTTTTCCAGCAATGGTTATTAGAACGTGACTTGGAGCTGTGTAAGATACATTTTCAAAGTAAGTAAAAAGTGGGCAAATCCAGGAAGCTGCTCCTTAGCCCAGGCCTGCCGTGGAGGCCGACGGCTCGATTTTTCTCTGCTTTGTACTTGGAGACAGAAGTAAGTGGAGAAAGCACTCCGACTCTATGCAGAATGGGGTCCCAGGAAAACATTCGGTTTGAAGACATAGAAAGGGACGTGCTGCTGCCTGGGTGAGAAGGGCTGAGCCCGCTAGAGCAGGCAGCACAGGGCCATCTGGGGGGAACGGTCCCTTAGACACATCTGCATCGTCCAAGAAATGCAACCACACAGGAGCCGCACTCGGACAGTACACAGCCTACAGCTGTTGAGAAGTTATCACGGCAAGCTTCCAGAGAGCCACACAGCGCGCATAAGGCTTTCCAAACCTCCTGAAAGTGGCCACGCCGGCACAGTCACTTAACTGTAACTGCTCAAAACGCACATTTCAAGAAAGGCCTAGGATGGTTTATATGCACCTTATTGATTTTTCACTACTCAGTTGGAAAGAAAAAGAAACGCCTTCTAAAAAGGATTTTACTAAATGCCATTAGTAATAAAAAAAACAGTTGTCATAAACAGAGTATTTCTCCCACGCCACGCCGGGATAATCAGATTCTGCCTGAAGAGAGGGGAAATCCTCGCGAAACTTCTCTCAACAACACGGTGCCATCTTGAAGCCAAGGAGGAGACGGACAAGGTTTCCTATGAGCAGGTCTCAGGCCCCACCAGACGCTCCCAGGCCATTGCCCAGTTTGCTTCCCACAGGCCCCCGTCCTGCCAAGTCTGCAGAGACCGACGGTGGGGGCCCTGCCAGCCCGATGCCTGCCTCGTCTCCCCCACACCTAGCTCCTGACACCGGTCCCTGAAATCATGGCGCCCAGCTTGACCCTGTGAAGCTCAATGGGGCACATAAGGCAAGAAAGATGTTTAGTGAGAGAGGGGCAGCAGGGCAGGGCGGGGAGAGCCACGCTTCCCGGAGGCGGGGTCTTGTCCAGCACTGCGTCTTCCTCTAGGTGGGTAACGGGTCATCATCACCTTTACTGCACTTGCACTTGCAGCAAAGTACAAATGGGGTGGCCAGGAGCAGGAAAGGCGAGGCCACCAAGAGCAGGAGGCCAAATCCAGCAAAAATGCCCACAACCTGGAAGAAGGACACAAGGGAGCAGAGGTAAGACGGCAGTTCTATAGGTTCCACAGCTGAAGCTGCAGTCCCACAGTCAGCCACCCGGCCGTTATCCACCCATCCGTCCACCCGTCTGTCCAGCACCCACCCATCCGTTATCCATCCATCCATCTGTCCATCTCTCCAGTCATCCACTGAGCCATCACCCACATATCCATCCATCTACCTGTCCAGCTGTCCACCATCCACCCATCCACCCATCCATGAATCCATACATCCATCCACCCACCCATCTATTCATCTGCACAGCCATCCATCTATCCATCATTCACACATCTATGCCTCCAACCATCCATCCAAGGATCCAGCATCCATCCATTCATCTACCCAACCATCCAGCTGTCCACTCATCTATCATCTACACATCTATCCAACCAGCCATCCATGCGTCCGTCTGGCCAGCCACCTATCCGTCATCCACCCAACCATCTATGATTATCCACATCTAACCACCCATCCACCCATAATCTACATATCCATCCAACCATCCATCCATTCACCTGACCACCCTCTTATCCAGCATCCCCAAACCCACTCATTCATCCAGTCATCCAACCACCCATCCATCAAACAAGCACAATTCACCTATCCCATTCAACAAGCCACTCTCCATGGATCCATCCTCCCACTAGCTTCCCACCCATCCAGATTTTCTGCCCTTCACTCTCGTCCACTCCCTCCCCTCTCTTCCCTTTTCTTCCTTCTCCCCGTCCATCTAAGCACCCAAACCCTATCCATCAATTAACGCACAAGATTCCCATGAGACAGACACTCCATGATGTGCTGCAAACAGTAATGTGCATGAGATCTTGGCCTTTAAAGAGCATCCTGTCCGGTGGAAAGAGACCAACAGCCAATCAACTGATAAGAAACATTTTACAGAAACCGCCCCCGGGGGCCTGGTACAAAGGAATCCCCATGTGACAAACAGGTACAGTCGCTCGGGGTAAGGGGGCTTCCGTGGGAGATGGCTGGAGGGGTTAGGACACATGAAGGCACGGGATAAGGTTTTCCAGGTGACGGTACAGTAGATACAGGTTGGGGACATCAGAGGATGGCCTGACACTTGTCACTCCGGGAGCTTGAAGCTCAAAACCGCATGTACTGTGATTTTTTGTTTGAAAACACATTTACCCCCACGTATGGGCAAACGCTGAAAGAGAAAAGCCTCAAAGGTAGACATGCTGTCATCCTAAACGTCACCATGTGGCTGACGGAAACCACGTGGTTTGCTCTTGCACCAGCCTTGTCCATCAAGGGTATCAGGTCCAGAACAGCACAGAACCAAAATCAGAAGATGGAGTTAGACCACCACCTAGTGTTCACAGCGATGAGCGCATGAATGCGCTTGGCACGTGGTTCTAAGTCTTCACTTCTGTTTTCTGGGCTACAAAATAAAGGAGCTAAAAGCTCCAAGAGCCACTCTTCACTCTCAAGCATGCTAGCATGCTAACACACCCCAGATGTGTGAAACCAGGGGCTCCTTGACGTGGACTTCTCCTGAAATGCCCCCCACCTGCTCGGCGCCCGTATGCGCATGTGTGCATTTCTAACTATGACTGCCTTTCGTAAATCTTCTAAGATGGCATTGACCCACTGCACCCTGCTGGGTAACTCATTCATCTGAAGGGCAGAGCCACACGGTCTGATTCCAGAACGGGCTTTGTTGAAATCACATGCAGACTGGTATCCGAGCACAGAGAAGACAAGCTTGCCCATCTGCAGGACACCTGAGAATCCCCACTACCCAGACACAGCTGTGCACCTCCCGGGAGCCAGAGAGTGCGGTCAGAAACAAGCCAAATCCTTTCCCTCCTCTTCACTTGTCATTGTCTGTCCTCTTGCGTTGCACGCTATTTGATACACTGGGTTACCCAGCCCCTTGCCAAGTAGCGTGGGCAGATGTTGCCAGCAGCACATCACAGCTGATGAGATGAGAAACAAATATCGCAATAAAGCACTGGCTTGGCAACACGCTATGCAGCCAGGCCCTGATGACGCACGTAGGCACCAGAGAGCCAGGAAACGGCTTCAGGCCCCAGGGAGACTTGCTGGCCGTCACAGTGGATTGCGTTTTGGCAAACGCTGAGATGGGAAAGAATGGGGCAGTGTTGTGGCTCAGCGGGTGAAGCTGCCACCTGTGACATCGGCGTCCCACATCCCACATGGGCACAGGTTCATGCCCAGACGTTCCACTTCCCCAGCTTCCTGCTAATGATTGGAGCAAACCAGCGGAAGATGGCCCAAGTGCACCCATGGGGGAGACCCCTTGGACAAAGCTCCTGGCTCCTGGCTTTGGCCTGGCCCTGCACTTGCCATTGCGGCCAACTGGGGAGTGAACCAGCATGTGAAAGGTCTCTGTCTGTCTGCCTCTCCCTCTATCTCCATAACTCTGATTTTCAAATAAACAAATATTAAAAAAAAGCCCACTCCTTCCCCCCAACCTGTGTTTGTCATGCTGCACTCTACGTAAGAGCAGAACCTGTTCTGAGAACATTGTAAGGCCCCAGCACAGCTCAATGCCTCCCCCCTTTAAAATATTTATTTTTAGTTATTTGAATTGCAGTTACAGAGGAAGGGAGAGAGCCACTGGTTTACTCCCCCACTGGCTACAATAGCCAGGACTGGACCAGGAGCCTGGAGCTCCATCTGGGTCTCTCAGGTAGGTGACAGGGGCCCAAGTGCCTGAGCCATCATCTGGTGCCTTCCCAGGTACATCAGCAGGGAGCTGGATCGGAAGTGGAGCAGCCGGGCCTGGAACCACCAGCACCTTTCTCGTGAGCATGCGGCATGTGTTCAGTTTACGGCATGAAGCCGTGAACAGAACCAGAGGTTCTTCCACGCACCACACTCAAGGGCTTGGTGAAACCCAGTCCACAGCAAAGCTGCAGGCAGGTGAAGGGAATGTCTAAGCCACAGAAGGCTGGCAGTCACACACGGCACAGGAATAACCTGGTCCAATTTTCTCATTCCACAGGCACACAGCCAAGGGCCAGAGAAGCTGTCCAAAGGTCCCAATGTTTGCCCAGGACACACAGAGCTGGCATCCTAGTGTCAACGCCAAGATCGCTTGTGCACATTTCAGCGAGTTCTGTGAATAACACCCTTCATCACTGCACACGGCTTCTAAGACACGGGCACGTCCACAGGCAGCCCTGCCCCTGCACTCAGCCGGGGAGGGCACTCATGCGCGTGTGAACGCGGGACAGCGGTAGCCAGCTGGCTCTGCTAACGGCCACCCTTTGGCTGAGAATAAGCTCTTCCCTCTGTCACAGGGGGAGCTGGGGACAGAAGGAACAGGCCGTGCGGGCAGCAGTGCCCCTGTCAGATGCATCCCCAGCAGGGGGACTGCCTCAAGTGCAGAGACAGCAGCCCTCCTGCGTCTCCCGCGGGGGCCGGGTGCTGGGACAAGGCAGGGAGACTCCTCACAGCCATCGTGTAGGCAGCCAAGGTGGGAGGGACAGAGAAGCCCAGGGCTGCACGGAACGAAGCTCACACCCAGGAGCTCGGGGCTGAGGATTCAGACGTCCGCTCACAGCTGGCATCACGCACGCCTGCGCGTCACCCCGCAGTCCTCACTGCTGTCTGTCAGAGCAGGAGACCTTGGGACCACTGGGGACTAAATACATGTACAAACCCTGGGGCTGGCACTGTGGCTCAGCAAGTCAAGCTGCTCCCTGCAACACCCAACACCAGCATCCCATACGGGCATCCGTTCAAGTCCTGGCTGCTCCGCTTCCCATCCAGCTCCCTGCTAATGCACCCGGGAGAGCAGCAGAGGATGGCCCAGGTGTTTGGGCCCCTGCACCCATGTGGGAAAGCAGGAAGAAGCTCCTGGCTCCTGGCTTCAGTTTGACTCAGCCCTGGCTATTGCACTCATCTAGGGAATGAACCGGCATATTGAAGATTTCCCTCTCCCATCATTTTCGCTCTGTAACTCTTTCAAATAAATAAAAATAAATATTTTTTAAAAGTATACAAAACCTTCACACAACAGAGACACAGCTTCCTGTTCACAGCATGAAATCTTACTAGAAAGCTACATCTGACACAGGTGCCAGGCCAAACGGACTGAGCGTGTGACGCTTTCACTCCTATGAAGACAGTGACAGCAACCTGCCATCGCCCTGACCTTCCTCCGAATCTCACAGAGCAACGTTACTGGGCGTCAGATCTCCAGGCAGAAAGAGGTAGGGAGCAGGGACCCTGCCGTGGGACTAGGAACACCAAGCATTCAGAATCACAGGACACAGACCGGAGGGCACGTTTTCTTTTCATTTGAGGAGCAGAGAGCGAGCCATTGAGACAGAGCGAGAAAGAGAGGGGGCCCTGAAGCCAAAAGCCAAGAACTCAGTGCAGGTCTCCCACAGGGCCGGCAGGGACCCAGCCCGCTGAGCCATCGCCACCGCCCCCGGGGTCTCTATCTGCAGGGAGCCGGAGTCAGTGGCTGGCCCAAGCGTCCAGCCAGGCACTCCGCTGCGGGACGGAGGCATCTCAGCTGCCCGGCCAGACGCCCTCCCCAGGGGTGTATGTTCAAGAACCGCAGAGGTTCAGGTCAGGCAAGGCGCCAAGTGAGACAAGCGTTTTCCGCAGGAAGCTTACGAAACCCAGCTCTGGCAAGAAGTTCTCAGCAATGGTGCCCCTGCCCCGTGTGGGGGGCATTAGATCAACACAGTGGATCAAGGCTTGGATGTCAGGCAACAGAGGAGAGTAGGAAACACACATGCAGGGAGCACGTGTGGGTGCGCACAGGCACTCTACGGGTGCCGTGCGTGTTGCCCTGTGGCTGCCTGGAGGAGGCGGGCTGGGGCATGGTCTTAGCAACAGACAGCTGAGGGTCAGCATCCAGTGCAAGGAGCAGGTAGAGTGGGTGGGGGAGGAGGAGGGGACGGGGGGCCACCTGAGCAGGCAGGACTCTTCTGAGCGGCCACCCGACAGGTGACTCCTAGACGAGACGAAGGCCAGATGCAGGAGTCCGGGAGAGTGACAACTCTGCTGCTCCAAGACCTTCTGCTGCTCCCCAGTGCCGTGCAGGCTCAGGTCTGCACCCTGATTCCCCGTCCTCGTTTCCTGTCAGCTGCACCCCCAGAGGCCCCCCCACAGCCCACCAGCATCTCCTCCTGAGTCTACACTCCCGATTCCCTTCCCCAGCCCCCAGATCCTGGTTTCCCAGAACCTTCCAGGGTGGGTTGTCAACAAGGAAAGCATCTTCTCCCACTATCTCAGCCTGCCTGGCCGTCTCCTGCCTGGTACGTGGTTCTGCTCAGAGCCGCAGTGCACGGAGGCCGTGGGACCCCCACCCCCACCCCGCCTCACGCAGCTGCAGGCTCTGAAGCTCTGCTTTGCCCCAGGCACAGGGTCGGAGATCACAAGCCCCTGCCACGAAGAACGGTTCTGGGTGTTTACCAGAGAAGAGACGGGGACTGAGAGAGCAGGGGCCGCTGGCAATGCTGACGCCAACAGGGCCACCGCGTGGGGGGACCGAGGCACGGAGCTGAGCACCCGCGGGAATCCCGAGGGGCAGGCGGGGTGAGGACCTGGCAGCGGAGGGGCAGGGAGCTCGCAGGGGTCTCAGGGCCGAGGCCCTGGAGGTGCGAGAACGGGGCAGGTCCCCAGGGCTTCAGCCGTCAGCACTGCCCAGGCTGGTGCAGCTCTGCGAAGGCCATAAAGAGGCCGGGAAGACGCTGACGGGAGACACTGCGGCTGCTTTTGTGCGTCGTCGAGAGCTCTGCCAGACACAGGGCTGGACTGTGAGTCCCGGGGTCGTGTTCTGCCATAGCCAAGTCCTGCTCCCAGCGGAGCAGCCTGCAGGAAGGGGAGGGAACCAGCGGGCTCTTGGAAAGAGCACTTTCTAAGTGAGCAGCCTGGGGTCGGCCTCATTGCTGGAGGCAAACTGCAGGACCAGGAGGTCTCCACTGTGTTGGGACGGATCAGAGCTTGGAGGGCCGAACACAGAAGCCACCCACAGCTGACAGAAGAGAGGTGTCTACACTGGGTGGGCGTGCCCCGTGCACAGAATCCGGGGGGTGTCTACACTGAGAGGGGCCTGTCCTGTGCACAGCATCCCAGGGGTATCTAGAATGGGAGGGGCCTGCCCTGTACAGAGCATCCCGGGGGTGTCTACACTGGGTGGGGCCTGGCACATGCACTACATCCTGAGGTTATCTACACTGGGTGGGGTTTGCCTTGTGCACAGTATCCCACAGGTGTCTACACTGGGTGGGGCCTGCCATGTGCGCAGCATCCCCGGAATGTCTCCATAGAGGGCGGCTCTGCCAGCGCCTGCACCTCAGCCGCTGAGCTCTGAGCGACCACGCACCACCGCTGTGCAGGGTTGGGCGTCATTACTGTGCCCGAAACACGCACTGCTATGCATTGTTACCGCGCCAGAGCCAACTCACACGGGCGTGCGGGGGCAAACACGGGAGCTGGGTGCTGAAGAGAACACTGGCACCCTGAGGGAGGGGCGCACACGTCTCATGCACGGGTGTGAAGAGCCACTCTGGAACCGTGCCTGGCGCACAGCGGTGCTAGAGAAGTGTTGCAAACACAAGGAACGTGGACGCGGAGGCCGGCCCTTGGCCAGCTGCGCGGGCTGGGCCGGCCTCACGGCTTGGGTTCGCTCCCTTCCTCCGCTGCCACGCTCTCCCTCACCAACATGCTGGCCTCGGGTCTGGATAGCAAGCCCTCCATCAGGGCAAAGCAGTCCGCAGCTGGACCATGACCCGGGCCAGGAAAAATGTGGATCCAAGGTCTGCTGTTAACTCTCCGCCGTGTGCTAAAAGTGAGCCATATTTACTGTGGCGCGTTAAGGTCAACCTCAGAACAGCTGGAATCCCAGCAGGAGCCACGCTGGCCAGCTCTGCTTTCCTGTACAGCAGGCCTCGGGAAACCACAGGCACCCGCACACGTGTAATCCCTCCTCCCACCCGAGCAAGGCCCCCGGCCTGCCTGCCTGCCTACCTGCGTCCGATGCCAGATGACGGAGGCGCGGGAGTGGCCCAGCTTGTTTCGGCAGGGCCCCTTGTCGTAATGGATCAGGAGGAAGTCGTCCTGGGAGGTGCAGAGAGAGAGAGAGAGCAGCCATCAGCGAGGCGTTCCTGCTGGGCCTGGGGATGGCTGAACCTGAGCCAGCTCACGGGGACTGGAGGGCCAGGAGGGAGCCGGCCAGGGAGACAGGCACGCCCCTGGGCACCCCGGCTCTGCGTCTGGACCAGTGGTCCCTCCCGATCTCTGGGGAGCAGCCCAGAGGGCACAGCCAGCCTGGGGCACTAGGAGGAGTCTTGGCCAGAATTCCATCTCCAGATCCAAGGAGGGCCTCCCTGGGCACAGGGGCTACCTCTGGAGCTCACTGGGAGAAGCACATTTTGTGTGGACACACGGCAACTGTGAGGGCTTACATAGGATCTGGGTGTGCACTCACACAGGTCAGTAACCCCCAAGTCCTAAGTTAATGATACGCAGAGGGCGTACACCTAATCCGAGTGCAGGGTCCAGGCGGTGGGCATGCTGCGAGGCCCTGGGGTCATGCCCTGGACAGGCGGCTCTCTAGGAGGTCTGTCTGCTCCTGGCTCCCAGGGGGTGCTTCCTCTGCAACACCCCAACCTTGCCATGCACCACCCTCACAGAGGCTGGCCAGGGCCACCGACCCCAGACGTGAGTACCCTAGCAGGGGCTCCAGGGCCCTCTTCTCTTCCTGAAGTCAGTGTTCTCGTGCACTTCACCACAGGGATGGAAAGCCGACCACTGCGGCCTGCGTGACAGCTCAGAGGCCTGTCCTGGCCCTGGCTTGGAGTCCACGGCCTCCCCCCGATGGATGGCGTCCCCCACCGCTGCCACACGGGCTTCCGGCAGCTCAGACCCCAGCTTCTCTCGGTGGTCACGATGCAGCCTGGCAGCCACTTTCCACCTGTAACTTCCCTGACAGAGAGCAGAGAGCAGGGGCTGCCTTCTGGGTGCCCCAGGAAACACCTGTCAAGGCCTCGTCCACGTGTTCTCACTCCCCAACCCCAGGACCTCCAAGCACTGCCTTAGGGCAACCCTCACTGGCCACACAGGGTCTCCTGGAGTCCGGCCGCTCATATGTGCCGACTTCTCGAATGACGTGGCCTTCCCCAGTTCAGGGTCGGGTCCCAACTCCCCGCACACCCCACTGAGCAGGAGTGGAGTGGCCTTTCTGAGCAAAGCCTACAGGGGGCGCTGCCTGCCAGTCTATGCCAGCAAAGGAACAGGTAAACAGGCCCAGGAGCGGCAAGGGCTATGTGCTCGCCGCACGGAGCCTGGACACAGACTGCCTCCTTCTGCAAGGAGAGCCGATAAACTCAGGGCCCTGTGTGTCCCAGAGAGTAGGAAGTCACCTCTGAACCGGGCAGAGGGGGCCAGGGGTCGCTGCTCCCTGCTCCTCCAAGCACCTGTGCTACCATGAACCTGGGTGGCTGTGGCTCATTTTCCTTTTGTACCAAGAAGGCACCAGCCTTGCATCCGCTGATCCGAGGTCAAGCTTCCGGTGTCCTGGGGCCTCCTGGCATGTCCATAAATCCTGGCTTTCAGTAGGCAGGAGCAAGAAGCCTCTGCAGGGACTGCAAGTCCAACGGCCACTGCCTGCTCATCTCCGTCTGGACAGCCGGTCTATGCCATGGATGCAGGAGGGGCAGACACAGACAAGAGTTCTCCCAGCCCGCCACGTGCCTCTGACTCATGTACCATGAGCTCCTCCCGGAACTCTTCACTGCACCCCACGTTACACAGCTGCCGACGCGCACAAGGCTGGAGCCCAGCTGGCTGTTTGGACACCTGGTTTCCCACGCTGCCGATCATGACGGCTTGTGCCATAGGCTCTTGCTTGAGTTTGCTTCCTGAGACGCTGCACAAATCACGTGGCCACAGGGTTGAGAAGCCGTTAGGGTCTCCAGCTGTGGAAGAGGCCACAGGGTTGGCACGTGGGAGTCACCGGGCAGCGCAGGTCTCGGGCAGGGTCCCCACGTCCTTGGACGGCCACTTGGGAAGCACAGGGCCTTGCACTGGAGGCCCAGGTCCTCACTTGGCACCCACACCTGCAGGATGCTCTCTTCCCAGCGTTCGTGTCCGTGCTCAGGCCACAGGCATCTCCGTGTGCTTCTCGCTCAGGTCCACATCTTTGGGAGCTCCGGGCTCAGCACGTTCCTTCCCTGATGAGCCCATTCCCACAGAGCCTCGTGACTTCCGCTGTCCCCCATGCCCCCAGACCAGGGCCTGGCTGCCTCCTCTAGCTGTGGGTGGATTTTTCTCCCACTGTAGACGGCCCTCGTCACAGGGTCTTGACAGCACGTGTTACGGGGGTCTTTGCCAAGAACAAGTCAGGTCCCTTAAGGCCAAGGACTTCTGCTCCCCTGACGCTCGGTGCAGGGGTCACGAACAAGATGAATGTGTATGTAGGATGCACCGATCTTAGTGCCACTGCCCTAACAGACCCGCACGTGGTCTCGGTGTCTGTCTGTGACACTGGCATCCTGTACAGGCGCTGGTTCATTTCTCAGCTGCTCCATTTCTGAACCGGCTCCCTGCTATGTGCCTGCCAAAGCAGCGGAAAATGGCCCAGGTGCTTGGGCCCCTGCACCCGCGTGGGAGACCAGGAAGAAGCTCCTGGCTCCTGGCTTCGGATCAGCCCAGCTCCAGCCATTACAGCCACTTGGTTCTGCAGTGAACCAGTGCATGGAAGACCCCTCTCTCTGTCTCTTCCTCTCTCTCTGTCTGTAACTCTGCCTCCCAAATAAATAAAATATTAAAAAACAAAGAAACAGCTGTTGTTTAAGCCACACAGTCTACACTAGTCTCTTATTGTGGTCTGAGCTGACCAAGACAGTAGCCCCTTAGATAAAACCTGAGATCCTCACAGCCCTTTAACACCCAGGCTGAATCTCACGCCGGCCCCGGGCTCCCCAGCCTCAGAATCCCTGCCCGAGCTGTTACCACCGCACACAGTGAACAACGCTTTCACGGAGGCACCGGGTAACGGGCGACTTCTCTGTCCAGCTCTTTAGGCCATGACTGCCCCCTGTTGTCCTTGCAAACCCGAGCCCGAGAGCCCGGCACAGCGCGTGAAGCCGGGCGGGGTACTCACGTCCAGGGACTCCAGGCAGTACCAGCAGAAGGCGTGCTTGCAGTTCTTGCACATCATCTGCGCGCAGCCTTCGTCGCGCTCGATGTAGACTTTGCACTTGGGGCAGCGCTTGATGGAGGCGTCGTCGTCTCCCAGTTTGAACGTGGCGCTGCGGGAGACACATCGTGAGGCTCGCGCACAGGGGCCCTGCCTCGCGGGGCAGCGTCGGCACACGGCAAGCATTTGCTCAGCCGGAGGGACCGGCGTCTCCGATAGTAAATGACATAGAAGCAAGGCATGGAAACTCCAGAAAAGACAATCTAAACATCGGGGACCAGCCAGTTTTAGGGGAAAAACAGAGCGGTGGCAGCATCCATCCGAATGCATACATGTCCAGACAAGCCAAGAAATTGTGGCAAAGAGCTTATAATCGGGGTGTCTAAGTAAGGCTCTTATGACCAACGCCATGTCCTTATTCCTGTATTTGTGTGCTTTCCAAAGGGCTGATAACAAATTTAATGCACTTTCCTAATATCAGAAAAAACAGGGGGCCGGCACTGTGGTGTGGTGGGTTAAGCTGCCGCCTGCAGTGCCGGCATCCCATATGGACGCCAGTTCAATCCTGGCTGCTCCACTTCCGACCTAGCTCTCTGCTATGGCCTGGGAAAGCAGTGGACGATGGCCCAAGTCCTTGGGCCCCTGCACCTATGTGGGAGACCTGGAAGAAGCTCCTTGCTCCTGACTTTGGATTGGCACAGCTCAGGCTGTTGCATTCAACTGGGGAGTGAACCAGTGGATGGAAGACTTCTCCCATCCCCCATAACTCTGACTTTCAAATAAATAAATAAATCTTAAAAAAAAAGAAAAAAAAAACAGATGCTATACACACACACACACACATACACATACAAGCACACCCTGGTTGCTTAGACAGACCTAACTGGCTTGCCGGATCAAGTTGCCTTCCTGAGAAGTCTGGCAGGGTCTGTAGTGGTTGGTAGCACAAAGGTCTTTTCTGTATGCCTGGGGCAAGCGCTTGCTCTGCTACACACAAGCTGTGTGACAATCTCTGAGCTTCACAGTGTGATCTGGGAGGAGACGAGGCATCAGAGCACCGGCAGCACCCAGCACCTGCACAGCGTCCAGCGAAAGGCAGCGACGACCCAGATACTGAGGCCTCCCGAGGGAGGCGCGCCCGCTCCTGCTGCTTGCGACGTTAGTGACAGCGCCCGCCAGGGTACTGGTACGCTGTAGAGAAGTGATCCCTGTCGTGGGAGGCTGCTACCGTTTGACCTGACTACAAGCCATCTAATGGTACCAAGAGAAAAACCATTCCCCTTTGAGGGGAGCGGTCTTTGAAGAACTTAACACACGCATGAGTGGACACTGACTGAAGCTGAGAAACACTGGGGTTGTGAGTGCATTCCCACGGAAATACGTCCCACAAGCATCAGGGGACATAAGGACTGAACATCCTTCAGGGTGCGGCAGCTCAGGATGAGCAGTGGGACGTTTCTAACGGGCAAGTGAGTCTACTTTGCCTGTGAGTGGAGAGGGTGACAGTGAAGAAATCCTGGAAGGAAGGCGTGAGCCCTGCAGGCAGGAGCACTCTCGAGGCTGACGAATCCTGGCTGTGCTACTTACGAACCACCAGTCCGAGTCTCCTCCTTTGCAAAATGCACCAAGGAGGCCAGTGGCATTGCTCCCGCAGGGCTGCCGTGAGGATTTAGGAGTTCACACAAGTTATGCACACAGGCACAGAAACCAGCACGCTGACAACCACTCAACAAGCGGTGGCTGGTAGCCATACTATTCGTGAATGATCCTAAAACCGCAGCTCTAAGCTTCCTCCGGTTCAGAAGACCAGGCAGGCTGCACACCTCGGAGTGTCCAATGAGCAGGTGCTGCAATCCACACAAGAGCCAACAGGCACCAAGTGCCTCCAGCAGGACCTCACAGCATAACCGAGGCCTCCTCCTAAGACCGGATCTGGTTTTGCAAAGACCCAGAAGTCATGAGGCACCAAATCCCACGACCGAGGAGGGTTACGAAGTTCGGTAAAGACTGTGGTGGCGTGACTTTGAAGTAATGAGACTGACACTCTCAAGTGACTCGCAAGCTAAGCCTCACATAAATGACGGAGCAGGGAGTGTGCAGAGGAGGTTGAAATCTGTAGGTTGCGGTGCGTGGTTTCATGCGGCAACACGTGCATGGTGGTGACAACCAAGGGTTCTCAAGCATGCCCTGGCGTCTGGGTTATATGCAATACTGTCCCCGATGAAGTCAAATTTACCAGGGGAGACAGAGTTTGTGAATCCCGTCGCACCTGCCCCCAGCATCTCCAGGGGGCACACAGGGTGCCGGTCAGAAGCTTGGGGAAGGGGAGCTGCCACCTTAAGGAAACCCCACACGGGAAGGGTGAATGAGCATCTCCTGGTCGGACTCACGCTCGGCCTCTGCTCCTGGGAGGCAGGAGCGGGCGTCGAGGGCTGTGAGCTTTGCATCCCCAGAGGCTTCCGGAGAGGCGGCCACTGTGCTGCCGGCTATGAGTGCAAGGGCCCGAGCTTGGTGTGGCTGGACCTGCCCCTCTCCTGGGGGAGCATTTTTATGTGAAATCTTCTGACTTGTTAATTTCTACAAAATGAGAATCGTGAATTTTGATTTCACTTGTCCCTGTGGAATATCAGAGGGGAAGACAAATCGAGCCATCAGAGCCCAAGGACTCCGCCTCCTTCCCCGGAACAGGGGTTCACACAAGCAGCAAAGCTGGCGCCGCTGCATCCGAGCAGGACGACGCTCGCTCGTCCTCACTCCTCGATAGAGCCGGACACAACGCCGGCAATGCACGCACTCATGCCACGGGGGTTCTCCTGGAAGCACAGGGCTCTGCTGCTATGCCAGGGCGCATGTCACAGTCTGCCTTCTACTCACTGCCTCCACCATGGAAACCAAGCCCTGCCAATTATTTTAATCTCATCAAACCAAGGAGCAGGGTTCTTCTTGCAAAAACCCCTAAGTCTGGGTGACACGATGCCTGCCAGGGGGGCCGAGATCCAACACAGGCAGGTGCCGAGGGTGGCTCAGCCTGATGGGAGAACCAGCCCTGTTGACAGAGGAACCAAGACGCGGCGTGTGCACACACAGAGGGTGCCGGCAGCAGCCCTGCCCTGGGAACCAGGAGCTTGACAAAGGGGACGCGGGCCCTGTCCTACAGGGTGGTGAGCAGTCTCCAGGGCGGAGAGAGGTGTTCCAGGTACAGGAACAAATGTGTGAACAAGGGGTGGGTGGCAGGGATGCTGAGAGCCCCGTGGCTGGAACAAGGTGCCCAGGGCAACCGGGCTGGGCAGTTGGATGGGAGGATGGAGGAAAGCAGGGAGAAGCTGGCCACACCTCCAGGGTGCAGGGCAGCCAGGTAGTGCCTGGCTCAGGAGCGGCCTCAACGCCTGTGGAGTTGGACCTTGTGACACTGCAGACGTTTCAGGACAGGAAGACCCAGATACTAGCGATTCTGTGTGGGTCCATCCATGAAATTTCCAAGCGCACACAACGACGCTGCAGTGTCCACTGGGCAAGTGGCCCGGCCATCTGGCTACCCAGAGAGAGCAGAAACACAAGTGTTCCCACATCCTCCACAAACAGGGAAACGCAGCCCGGGGCCCGAGTGGCTGCGAGCCTGTTGCGGGTGAGCCTTCTGGGGTTAAGACTGTTGACCCCCCACTCTCATTCCTGTGTTTGCACTCTATTTTGGATCACCCTCAACACAGTGGGGTCTCGGAAAAACCTCAGGTATCTGAGAACTTAAAATCCACACGGCAGGGCCCTGTGCATGCATGTGTGCTTCCAGCAATGCACTGTGCACACGTGTGTGCTTCCAGCAATGCACTGTGGACATGTGTGTTCTTCCAGGAGGCCAGGCAGAGTGTGGTTCCGAAGCATCTGTCTGTCCGTGGGGCTTCACACAACTCCTGGGGCAAAGTCAGTTCTCAAAAATACATACGGGGCCAGTGCTATGGCATAGTGGGTAAAGCTGCCGCCTGCAGTGCCAGCATCCCATATGGGTGCCGGTTTGAGTCCTGGCTGCTTCACTTCCAAAACAGCTCTCTGCTGTGGCCTGGGAAAGCAGTAGAAGATGGCCCAAGTGCTGGGGTCCCTGCACCCACGTGGGAGAACTGGAAGAAGCTCCTGGCTCATGGCTTTGGATCGGTGCAGCTACAGCTGTTGTGTCTATATGGGGAGTGAACCAGCGGATGGAAGACCTTTCTCTCTCTCTGCCTCTGCCTCTCTGTAATTCTGCCTTTTAAATAAATAAATCTTTGAAAAATGCATGCATACACCCACAGATGAAACAAGAAGGTTGGTGTGAAGCTCAAGAGGAAGACGTGTGAGGGCCGACCCAGCAGCAGCCGTGTCCCCGCCCTGGTAGCACCTTCAGGAAGGACCCTCTCCTGCTTCTCCCAGTCCAGGCCTCCAGGCCACACCCTCTGCAGCAGCTCGCGTGCCAACGTACCTGCTCTCCCCAGGAAGGAAGGTGATGGGCCTGGTCTCTGGGCAGCCTTGGCCAGGGTGCCAGCGGGCTTTGCAGGCCGAGCAGAACTCCATGTCACAGGCCTTGCACTGCACGAGCTGGGGCGTCTGCAGCCCCAGGTCCTGGAGCTGGCACACGGCCTGGCAGGTGGACGCTGGGCACCATGTCCGACAGGGATCGAAGAGCACCTCTGGCATGGGGAGGAAAAATGCACATCAAAGCTGGGGCCACAGGGTCTCGGGGTTCAGCGCGGGGGCCCCTCTGGTGCCTTCCCCAACATGCCGCCATTGAGACAGTGCATGACTGGCCAGCACAGCTCTCTGCCCGCTGTGTCCTTCTCCCTCCCCTCCCAGCGCTCCCAACCCCCTCCCCACTCCCAGAGGGCAGCAGCAGGTCTCCAGACAGCCGCATCGTCTTCAGGGAAGCTATCTGCACCCAGAATGCTCGTGGTCCCTGGGAGACCCTGGTTTCCCTCCAGGCTCAACGCTCTGCCCCCAGGCCCCACACCTGCAGCCAGGACCCGGCCCCAGGCAGGCTGCGCCGCCAGCACTGGGAAAGCAGGACAGGGATGGAAGACCCAAGCCAACTGTGGCGTGGAAGTGCCCCCAGCAGTGCGTTTCCCTCTGAAACAGAGAGGCCCCACTAAAAGGAATTAGGACACTTGTCTTTATAAACAGGATGCGCTCGCAGGCCTGGTCCCTGGTCCTTGCCCTGGTCCTTGCCCAAACATTGCAGTAACTGAAATAACCGGGCCTGAGCGCCCTTCGTCTGGTCCGGGCAGACGCTGAATTCTCACTGAGGGAGGAGTCGCCCGGAACACGGCTGCTCTGCAGGAAGCACACCGGCCTAAAGTGGCGGGTGGGGGGCTGCTTCCCAAGGTGTGGCAGTGGGCTGCTGGCCCGGAGCTGCTCCGCAGGGCCCTTCCTGGGATGGAAGGGACTCCTGGAAGGCAGCGGAAGCCTCTGGCACACGTGCTCCGCCTGTGACTGGCAGCCAGCAGGTGGGCTTGCCTGTACCAAGGGCAGGGGGGAAGCTCACTGGGGATCCCCCTGGGCGTGCAGGAGGTGGCCCCAAACCACCCCTGAACACCTGGACACACAACGATGTCACTAACTCCCCGGCTGAGGTATCCTGAGACTTCCAGCAAATGTGCAAGAAAACAGAACAAAAAGGTGGGTTGAATGCTATACAAACTTTCTGGTGCCTGACATAAACGTGCCTGCCCTGGTGCCTCTACCTTGGTCCCCAAGTGCAGGGGGCAGGCAGAAGTCTGACACACTCGCGTGGCCGACCCCAGGAGTGCTGGTGAACTGTGCTGGCCCTGGCTTCTGTGCGCACGGCTCAGCTTTGCTGGGAAGGGAATGCCTGGTGTCAGCAGCTGCCCCCAGAGGCCACCCTGGCCAGCTCCTGGTCCGCCCCCCTACTTCTCGCTCTCTTTTCTCTTTTATGGTAAATTAATCAAGGCTCGCAGCCCTCCAGTGGGCTGGTCTGGCTGAAGCTTACAAAGACCAGGATGGGGTGCAGGAGCTGCAGGCTCAGCACCTGTGCCCGCTTGAAGTGGCTTTCGTTGCAACAGAACATCTGCAGGGCGCTCCCCACACTCAGAGGATGACTCTTAGCTCTTCTCTAATTAGTGGACTGCGCCAAAGCCTGCTTTTCTAAGAACGTTCCTGGCTGTCAGACGGCACGAGGTGGCTTTGGAAGAAGCGGCTGCTGCCTGCAGGGCACACGTGGGGACGGCTGTCCCAGCTAGCTGGAGTAAGATGACTCAGCCAGAGGAGACGGGGGTAAGGGCGGGGGAGCAAGGCGTGGGGACTGCTCCCGTGAGTGCGTGGCAGCTCGCACAGTACCCAGGAACGGGGGCTGCAGTGTGTGTGTGGCCTCTGCAGCACCTCAGCCCACACAGCCCTGAGCCTCCACTGAGTGTGCCGTACCCAGCCAGGCCCCCAGAAAAGATCCCATCGGGCTTCGCAGGAGGCAGACGGTCAAGGTCCGGAACGGCACACAGCACGGGAAGAGACACCCCCGGCTGGCCTCGGCTCTGTGCACCGTGACGGGGTGGTGAGAGCAGAGCCGGACCACAGCATTGGCCTTCGACCCTTCCAGCCTCCCCACACTCCCCGCCCGCTCGTCGAGGGCTCCCAGGAGCCCCGACACTGGGAGGAGCAGACGGCCAAGGCTGGGCCCCAGTCTCCCCAGGCTCCTCCAGGCCTGAGCTCTGTCTGTGCTCCGGGCTAACACTGCAGCTGGTGACTGCTCCCTCCTCACCAAAGGCCCCATTAGCTCTTGGGCTGGAGCCACGGGGAGACCTGGGAATGGTTTCCAAGGTAACAGCCTCCACTTAATGACTCCCATCCTCAGGGAGGCACGGCAGCGGCGGCGCCTGTCCCCACGTGGAGGGAGTCCCTGCCTGCCCGGGCTCCTGGCTTATACCTCTGATTCATAGTCTCATCCATCATCCCCTGCTGAACCGAGGAGTGAGAGAGCCCAGAGCTGGCGACACCAGACAGCTTCTCTCTCCATCATGTCTCCCTGCTACACACAAACCACGCAAGATCCAACAGCACGCAGCACAGCCACCACATGCTATCCACTGGGATGCACGGGGCAACTGTCGTGTATCCCACCAGGAGAAGCCAGTCTCCACTCCAACTTCAAAGACCATTCACATCACTCCCTCCCTCTAGTCAACAAAGTTCAAGCTGCTTTCAGAGGCCAGTTTTCTACAGATGGTTGTCTCCATGACAAGCACTGGGCGCCTGCGCTCCTGGCTCTGAGTGTGTGGCCAGGCGTGGCTGCTGTCCTGGTGCCCCACAGGGACAGGGTGTGACCCAGCTGTGAGTGTGCCTGTCAGGAGTCCTGGGTTGCAGGCCGCCTGTGTACTGCCAGATAACCCAGGCACACGATTTAATCTCTCTGACTCGACTTTCTCCTAACAAACAAGCCATGACTTGATGCCAACTTTCCTCTGACCAGGCACTCTCGTGGCATGGGACAAAGAACTGAGTAAGCCACGGTATGTCTGTGGTTGCCTGGGCTTCCAGGCGGGCGACATGGAAAAGACACTCACAGCCTGGCGTGGCTGGAGCTCAGAGGAGTGGACATGGCAGAGTGGGCACTCAGCCAGAGTGGCTCACGCTGCCTTTCCCTGGAAGCCAGTCCCCGCCCCCAGGCATGGGCGTCACCTTTGCTGGCACCCTGCTTGCCAGGGGCCCCGGCTGGATCTGAGACCAAGTGGGGCAGGCAGTGTAGTCTTTTGTCAGGAGATCACCGACACGGCGTCCCTCTGGGTGTCCTCCCCCGACTGCAAGTCAGGAGTATTTTAAGGCAGTAGAAACGACACCCCCAAGTCTGTCCGAGGACCTGGCTCTACCCACAGCAGTATTTTAGCTCGACCATTCTCACATTTCACACAGACAGGTCTTTTGTGGTATTCAGTCTGAATCATTTTTTTAAAAACATGACATTAGGAAAACATTTCAGAGGGTTATTTGTCTGAGAGGTATTTTTTTAACCTAAGTCGAGCTGGCTTCACTTTTGGGCAAAGGAAGAAAAAGAGAAACTTTTCGCCTGAGCCCAAGCATGAAGGAAGAGCGAGAGTTAGAATGCCTGGTAGGGAGTGTGTGCCCAGCTGCCTTCTAGACTGGACTCAGTGCCACGGAAAGGTCGTATTCTTGTGGCCCCAGCGACGGCTGGTTTCTGTCAAGGTCTTCTCTGTGAAATGCTTTCAGAAGAGCTGAGACTCTCAGGAGCCAGATGAACCGACTCTCCTGCTCCAGCCACCGACCGTGCACCGTGCACCTCGTGGCTGGGCTCAGGCCACAACTGCCCCAGAGGAGATGACTCAGGCCAGTTAAGTAAACACACTTCAAAGCCAGCCCAAATCCTGTTTCCCTGGCTGAGTTTTTTTTTTCCAGTTGGACACATTCTTTCTTTTCTCTAAAAAGCTTCTTGGGCCGGTATTAAGTCACCACCTGCGACACCGGCATCCCGTGTCAGAGCACAGGCTGAAGCCCTGCTGCTCTGCTTCCAATCCAGCTCCCGCTAATGCTCCCAGGACAGCAGAAAGTGGCCCACATGTTTGGGCTCTGCCCCCCATGCGGGAGACGGGATGAAGGCCCTGGCTTCTGGCTCTGAGCTGGTCCAGCCCTGGCGGTTGCAGCCACTTGGAGAATGAACCAGTGGATATGAGATCTCCATCTCTAACACTCTCACGCTAACCCCACCCCCACTCTCTGCCAACTTTGCCCTTCAAATAAATAAATCTTTTTAAATGAAGCCTCAAAAGGAAATACAGTGGCATTTATTTAAACGATTAAAAATATACTCTGAATTCACCTAACCTAGAAGGCTCTGGATCCTTCCCTCCGGTCTATCATGTTCCCACCTCGACGGTGTGATCAGGTGCCTGGCGTGGCAGTGAATCCCTGGCCCAGGTGAGAACTGGGCGCCAGCCCTGGGAGAGGGGAGCAGACGTCACCGTGACAAACTGAGGGGACCCTGGGGACGCGCTGGCCGTGTCCTCACGCTGAGTCCTTCAGTGGAAGCAGCGTCACCTGCACACATCACCTGCCACTGTGCTCTTACGCAGGTGAGCTCGAGGCCCGGGACACGCTCCTACGTGAAAGCAAGGCCACACGGAGCCCACACACCCCTCTTTCAAAGAGCATTTCAGGACCCTGGGTACTCAAGAGGACATTCAAACTGAGACACACTGAACGCCTGGTGACGCCATCCCAAAGAGCTCATTACCACCACAGAGTGCACACTCGCCCCACATCCCTCCTTCGTTCTCCCAGGGGTCTCGGTGTCTGCATCAGGCCCAAGGCCAGCTGGGAAGGCAGAAGAGACCCCGGTGGGAGGGGTCGCAGGAAAGGGTCTGGGAACCAGGTCCCCCTCACCCCCCACTAGAAGCCAAAGGAAGGCAGTGAGTCTCCCGGGCCATTGGCAGAGAGGTACTGACAGGTCAGTCTTGCAGGATTGCTGGGATACTCTGACACACAGACGTGGTAACTCGGCCAGCACCGGGGCCTGGGGCTGCTGCAGACTGATGATGGCAGCCCAGGAAGGCGATGCCCCACTCTGACAGCTGCCACAGCAGCCAGTATCAGGCTCAGCCTTGGGGTTCCTCCCAGCCTTCGTGTCTTAGGAAATCAGGGTTGGTGAGGGCTCAGCCTACAAACCACTACCCTTAACCCAGCTGAAGAACTCGGGCCCCGTGGGTTCTGTCTCTTGAAACCATCCCCAGAGGCCCCAACCTCAATAAACAAATTGTGTGTCACAAATTCTTCCTGCCACCAAATGATCCCCAGCCACAGCCTTCAAACTGTGACCATTCTGAGAATTTCAAATGTCCTTGTATTTTAGAAATTTAACTCATGTAGTTTTTTTCACTCTTATTGTAGTTTTTTTTTACTCCTACCAAGGGTTTTACAATTGTATCTCCCAAAAGAACTCCTCCAACATTATCCACATTCTGTTACTGAGGTTTTAAGTGGCTAATACACTAGGCACTTACCTCTTTCAAATTGTAGCTTTTTGTATCTTTGCATAATTTCAGCTGCAACCATGCATTCGATCTAAGGAAAAAATACAAAAGTGTAACAAGCTGAGGGTCTGAATACAAAGCAAAAGCCACAGCATCCTGACAGCTGAGTGGAGTACCCCAGCACACAGCGAGAGGCCAGACCTGTTCCTGTGCACACACACATGCACACGCACACACACACCATGGCAGCACACGCCAAGCAAGCCCAGCCCATTTCCATGCACACATACAGCTCACCAGCACACGCAGAGCAAGCTGGCCTCTTCCTGGGCACACGCACATGCATATGTATGCCATGACAGCACACGCCAAGCAAGCCTGGCCCATTTCCATGCACACCATGGCAGCACACGCCAAGCAAGCTGGCCCGTTCCTGTGCACAAGCAATGCACATGCACATGCACACCATGGCAGCACATGCTGAGCAAATCCGGCCCTTTTCCACGTGTATGCACAGCATGCCAGCACACGCAGAGCAAGCCGGCCTCTTCCTGTGCACACGCAATGCACATGTACACCATGGCAGCACACACCAAGCAAGCCTGGCGCATTGTCATGCACGCATACAGCATGCCAGCACACGCAGAGCAAGCTGGCCTCTTCCTGTGCACACGCACATGCACACACACGTGCACACACACATGCACATGTATGCCATGACAGCACATGCCGAGCAAGCCTGGTGCACTGCCATGCACGCACACAGCTCACCAGCACACGCAGAGTAAGCCCGGCACGTTTCCATGCACACACACAGCTCACCAGCACACACAGGGCAAGCCCGGCACGTTTCCATGCACACACACAGCTCACCAGCACACGCAGAGCAAGCCTGGCCTGTTCCTGGGCACACGCACATGCACACACATGTGCACACATGACAGCACACGCCGAGCAAGCCCACACGTGCCTCGTTCTCCTGCAGGTGGCCCTGTTTAGGGCAGGCAGCGTCTGGGCAGCTGATTGCAGTCTCTAACCCTTCTTTGATCAAGAGCTCCACGTACTGTTTCAGGCACTGAAAGAGAACCAGAGGCATGTCTAAACACGTGTCCTTCCTCGAGGCGAGAATGCCCAAGCACATGGCTCCATTACAGCCCACGGCAACCACCGAATTCCAGGGCCAGCTTCTACTCACTAGCAAATACTTACGGGGCACGGACTCGGTGCCTGGGATCACACTGATTCCCAAAGGGAAGGCGGGATTGGATTCCCCACACAGCCTCAGCAGACACAGAGCCGTCACTGCATCGGCAGGAAGGAAGGCAGTGGGGTACAGGGAAGTGGAGCTCAAATACCCCCGAGACATCAGGCACTGGGCCTGATCCCATCACTGCACTCAATCCCTCAACGTGAGAACCAAGTCACGGTGCAAGGACTTGCCAGCTCTCCTGCAGCCCAGATTCCAACCTGAGCTTGCTCAGCTAAAACGCCTGCGCTCTGCCTGCTGGGAACCGGGAGCCCGCAGCAGTCCTCATCTGTGACACACTGCTCACCCGGCCACACACAGGTGGGAGACAAGGGAGACAAGGAACAATTCAGACAGGATCACATGGCCTCTTGAGTTCTGGTTACCCTTCCAAAGCCTACGAGTCAGAGACACGAGGTTGCCCTCTAAGGCGCCTTACAAACAGGCGAAGAAAAAAAAAAAAACCATGACTGTCCCCAGACAGCTCCACCACCGAGAGACTGGAGATGGAGAGCTAAGGCCAGAACTCGGGGGCCCAGAAAGTGAAGGATAAACTCAACAAAACCAAGGCGACCGGAAAACAACGTCAAACACCTTCCCAGCATCACGAAGCAGAACGCGGGATCACGGCCCCAAGGCACATCTGCAACACTGTTAGAATCTTATGAAATACTACTAAAATATTATCATTCACCAAGAAAGGCCCACAAGCCCCATGTGCTAAACAGCTGCCTCTTACCATAAACGTGGAATGCATTTCCTTAAAGGAAGGCACAGTTACGATGCACGGGTGGGCATGGATGGAAAGCCAAGTGGAAGTCCAGCGTTTTCAATGCTTGGGGCGACTTTGTTACTCTCTCTCCGCCAGCCTCACTGTCCCTATTAGCAACACGGGGTGCTCTGATCGACCTCACAGTGGAGCTGTGAGAATCTTACACAAGGGGGAGAGCTGAGGAGAACACACAGCAAACAGCAGATGCCCGATACATCAGGAATAATCCAGTCTAAGTAGATAATGGTCCCCGTTCCAGCAGGCGAGAATATTCCATCCATTAAAGATTCTAGAAGCCACGTCTTAATAAATAGAAACCAGGCAATGCAAAGGGCCACTGCCCACAGTGTTTCTGAAGCACAGGACTCGGTGTGTGAATGGTGATGCTGGCAGCACTCAGCCTGCGCTCTGTGGATGGATCTCGGCTCTGATAGCTGCAGACACCCTGGACGTCAGTCACTCACGGCTGTCATCTGCCAGCCCGTGTCTGTGACCAGTGCTCCTGGAGGGTCAGCATGGAGCAGTCTGTGCTGCCCGTGGGTGGCAGAGTTTTCTGAGACAAACTCCTGAGACCAACGTGAGTGCCTTCTGCAGGGTGACACCCGAGATGACAATGAAGAGGACAGAGCAGTGACACCGAGCTCCAATCAGAGCTGCGGCCGCGTCTGGGCAGCGTTGGCTGACCTGTCACCCGGGGATCAGCAGGTGGGGAAGTGCTGCCACAGTGGCCTGTTGATGCCCCATTCAGGGCAGGGACACTTGAAGAGGGAGCTTGAACAGAGGCGTTGGAGCCACGCTCATTCCCAGTCCACGGAGCGGCTACCCGATGCGTCTGGACCACAACTCCCTCTCTGGCGAAACAGAGATGAAGTCTGGCTGGGCTTCTGACAGGAGGAAGCCCCAGCACAACACCTGGTGCACACCACCAGCCGGGCCAACAGCAGCTGCCGCCACGCCTTGCTTGTCCCTCTGTGTGATGCACTTCTCACCATCACAGGCATGAAAAAATAAAATAGAACAAGCCCTTAGCAACAAGATCATAATGTTGGTTTTTTAATTGTTTCTCTACACAGAGCCTCTGGAGGACAGGGCAACGTGTTAAACCTACACTCACAATGCATTGTGTGGAGCTGTCTGCTGTGACAACACCGTTCTCCCTCGGCAGCCAGACGCGACAACCAAAACTGGTGTGCAACACACCCCCTGGGGAAGCCTCGGAGCATCAGGGCTCAGGAGCTCACATATGGCAACAAGTAGTGCGTCACGTCTGGCTGGCAGCCACCCAGGAGCCAACACGCCACGCACCCGGAATAATCTATGTGCGCAATCTGCAGAGTGATTGTGGACTGGAGTATCGGTGTGTTTACTATGTAAGACAGACGATGATGTGAGTGCCTGACCTTGCCTGCACCAGAAACAAGCCCAGCCTTCTCCCAGACAGAAAGTGGGTCACGGCTCACTCGCTCACGTTCTGCAGCCTAACAGCAAAGAGCTGTGTGAGCACGCACACAGAAAGAGGAAACTCGGTTCCCAGAGACACTGCTGGAGTCTGGCAGCAGATAGGGAGGCGCCTACTGATGATCATAAAAGTTGTGCTGGCAACCAAAGCCCTCGAAGTCCCAGACCCTGTGCTAGCACTGCACCCACGTGAGCCCACGGGACGTGTGCTGGGACTGTAGGAGGTGACGCCACTCCCATTTCAAGGATGAGAAAGCGAAGGCTTAGGAGACAAGAACCACTGCCAAGTCATCCTCTGTACCCAAACCCACGTGCGCCCGACAGCGCCCGACACCAACGTGCTTTTCTGCTTGTCTGTTAAAACGTTCACTGACTTCCTCCGCACTGAAGAATTCTTTCATCAGCAACTGCTGAAGTGTGTCCCGCTACCTCACGTCCTCCCCAGCAGAACGAAGCAGTGCACACACTCTAAGCGGGCAAAGCCTCCTCAACACGGAGCTCATCTCATCGACAGCTTCACAAGGCCACCAATGCAAAGATGACCCCCGACCTCACGCACTGGGGCCGCAGGGGGGGTGCAGAAGGGGTCCCGGCTGTGTGGGGTCAGGGGAGGCTTCCCAGTGGTGAACCGTGGCCGGGAGACAAAGCATTCCAGGAAAAAAGGCATGGGGTGCACAAAGGGAAGGAGGAGGAGGGCAGCGGTGAGAGCCACAGACTGTTCCAGACATTTCATTTTCCACTGCGGCTTCCAACGCTTTGAAACCGAAGAGCAGACAGTGCTGCTGACGCGCGAACCCCTTCCCCGTGTCAGAGGCGCCCTGCCGAGCAGAAGCAGCCACAGAAACGTGTGCCCCCCTCCTCCATAACCCGCAAGTCTGCTGCGACCCCAACGGCACCAGCAAATGCCCACAAACTGCACCAGAGGTGCCCAGAACGCGGCTGATCGCAAGCAGCATACTCGGGAAAGCGCACACCGAAGCAGGGAGACCCCAAACAGGACCGTCTAAGGGGCAGGGACTCTGAATCCCAGCTCAGCCATGGCCAGCCCTGTGCCTGGGGCGGGGACCCTCCTCTCTCCCAGCCTCACTGCCCTGGGTGTGGGGTAAGCCTCGTAGGCAGAAAGGTGCTGCCGAGCCAGTGGGCTCCACGAGGTTGTCAACACCCCGCTTTTCACTCAGCAACAAGGGACAAGAATAATCAAGGATCTGCTCCGTGTCCCTTCTATTGCCGAGTTCTGGCTCTCATTCACCTGTCCAGTCTCCACGCCTAGCAGAGTGCTGAGTCAGTGCCAGCAGCAGCACGGTGGTGATGGGTGGACGGGCAGATGAGTGCAACAGGATGGAGCAGCTGGACACCTGGCAACAGGCTGCCTTGGGGCCGGTGCTGGGGTGTAGCAGGTAAAGCCGCCGCCTGCAGTGCTGGCATCCCACATGGGTGCCCATTCGAGACCTGGCTGCTTTACTTCTGATCCAGCTCTCTGCTATGGCCTACGAAAGCAGTATAGACAGCCCAAGTGCTAGGGTTGCCGCACCTGCGTGGGAGACCTGGAGGAAGCTCCTGGCTCCTGGCTTTGGATCAGCGCAGCTCTAGCCATTGTGGCCAATTGGGGAGATAACCAGCAGATGGAAGACCTCTCTCTCTCTCTCTGCCTCTCTTTCTCTGTGTAACTCTGACTTTCAAATAAATAAATAAATCTTTAAAAAACAAAAACAAAATATGGGCTGCCCCTGCACCTTGGGAGAGACTGGAATCACAGACAGAGGGTGTGCTGACTACACACCACTCCTGCAAGGTGGTCGGACTGGAGACCCTGGTCTCTGACAGGCAGGAAGGCTGAGCCACGCCCTGCAGGGCTGGTGCCAGGGATGCCTGCACCCTTGGGGGAACAGTGCCGTAGGAATCCCCAGGGGGACCCTCGCTGGGGACCTGGAGTGAACCGGCAGCCTCCATAGGGAATGTTCTGGCACCGGCCACTTTCCTCAAAGCTGCAGGAAAAGCACTTTACTCCCAAGCCCAGGAGTCCAAGGCCTGAAAGTCGCTTTGGTAAAAATATTAGAATAAAAGAAACTGAGACTTTACATGCTAAGAAAAAAAAAATACTCTCATCTACGTGTACCGTGCACTGCCGCCACTCCACAAAGTCCACTGTCCCCTGGACAAACGTGGCCTGTGACTGCTGACCACCGGGGCCTGGCTAAGGATCCAGCATTGTGTGTGTGGCAGGGGTGGGGTGGGCAGGCTGTGTGATGAACGGTGGGTGCAGACTGGGACTCTGGTCCCCCTGGCTGACCTGGGCCTGGGCGCCTGTCGCTTAAGCTTTCCCAGGCTGGCTTCCCTCAACTGCAGAGCGAGGACCACAGCCCTGCCTGCTGGGCGGACTTATTTTTCCCACAGGAAGCAGGGCCTCAGCACAAACTCGTTCCTTTGACCCTGGTCAACCCCTGCCCATCAACCTGATTGCCCTGATGCAACACTGATCTCCCACAGAGCCTTGCAGCCCACAGGCCCCATGTAGGGAGGCCCCCTGCACCTGTGGGAGCACTTCCACCTACTGAGTGCATCACAGCCCAGCACACGCCCAGGCAGGAAGGGCCTCCAC